CATCTCGGTGTTGACCGCACGGAGGATGTTGACTGGGTAGAACTCATTACCGAGATTGGCGTCCGCCGGAAGTCATCTTACGACCCCGATTTGATACAGGTCGAAAGGACTTTGAGCAGCGAGTTGGTCAATGCATACGTTGATGTACTGACTGGTTTGAACGTCAGTGTCCAAGGCGTGCCTGCCGGACGCATTCTTCGACATCTCGAGACGTTTAGGAACTTTCTGAGGCGTACAGGGCTCAATCTCCACGGTGGTACTTGGGACTCGACAATTCTTCGACTAATTGAGAACGACGCAACTTTGGTGAACCGAACAGACATGATGAACGAGTTCGTGCGACTCTCGCCTACGATGGGAGAGGAACTAGCATCTCGAGACGAACAAGCGAAACCTTCGTATGTGCTGGATGGCAATGCAGCACTTCTGGGACTACTGCATCGCGCACTACAGGTACAAATCGATGCTGGGAGTCTTGTCGGCGCATTGAGAATATTCAAGCTCATACGGAGACGAGTCGATGATGCCAAGCAGCGATCGATTGAGGACTTCTTCCGATCACGCCTTCTTGACGACGATGATGTCAACCCGAGAAGGGCGAAGAAGAATGGTCTGTTCACAAGCAATTTTCCGGGTGTGGAACATCCCACCTTTGAGCATCAAATACCCTTGACTACCATGGGCGCCTTGATCGATCTGATAACGCAGCTGGGAGCACATGAGCTTGGAACGGCCTTGGTCAATGAAGGCGATCTCGATGGATACCTGCTCGATAAGCGACATTTCGGACACCCTCAGATTGCACCAGCATTGATTCGATTTGCGACTGCCACTAACGACGATGGACTGGTTGCGAGAGTTGTTCAAGCTCGAAATGTGTTCATTGCAGGAGAAGAAAGTCGTATGCTGCACTCTGATACCATTATGAGCTCAATCTTGTCCGAGCTCTTCGTGACCAAGCAGTGGCAGACTGCTCGACAAGTTCTTGACCATGTTCATGACAACTCCAAGCTGCAATACAACGCACAATGCTTAGCAGTGTTAGGAGCAAAGATACTCCAAATGCTACCACAAGGAAGTAGCAACGACGACGTGCAGCAGGCGTGGAAACTTTTCCTGAGTCTGACTATGGGAGACTTTGCGCCTGTGATGCCCAGACAGCGAGCTCTTGCGAACAAGCAGCGAGACATCATTGGTGTACTGTCGACTGTGAGGGCGGAGTTCGCTACACTGGCAGAGTCTCTAGTCAGGCAGGCATACATTACGTCGCCTGACGTCTACAGCTTCAATTTTATACTCGATGCCGTTGCTATGACACAGGGAAGTAAGGCAGCGCAGAACTTGCTGAATGCCTTCACGCCAGAGAGTGAACGATCTGAAGCAGCTCCTCACCGTGCGCCACGCTTCTCTCGTCAGCAATCAATGCGCTCGTTTCTGGTGCCAGATATCAATGGCCGACAGCTGACCGTCCGTGATCCACTAAAGCACAATCTCACGAGTTTCATCATTGTGCTGAAGAAGGGCTTGCAGGAATATGTAGAGCGCCATCAGCAACGACCAATCGCCGCTCTAGATGCTGAGGCACAGGATCTGTTACAGTGGGTTGTGCGAGGACTGCTGGGACCAGAAGGCATTGCACAAGACGCAGAGATACGGGAGGTCCACGATGAGGTGCTGAGATTACTGGAAGAGCTGGATATGGCATCCGTCGAACTTGACATGGCTACCATGTTGACGTGAATGCGCTGCACTACACGATGCAAGCCATTTGTACTATATGTGTTATTAGCGAAATGACAGCTACCATGCAGTGGTATGACTGATTTAGTGGCCGTTCTTACCTTTGAATTCCATATATCTAGATCGTTATGAGTCAACCTCATCTCTTGCATTCTTCAATCCCTTTTCCCTTCAAACAACAACATACCTGTGATGACAATGCCTATACACATCGAACGTCTCACACCTGCGGATGTGCCTACAAAATGCAAGATCGAGCTTGAGGCATTCAAGAACCATCCTCGCATTCCAATGATGTGGCCAAGAGGGTACACAGCTGACCTGTATTCCTTCAAAGAAAGCAGCGATGCTAGTAGTCTAGCAAATCCGCAGTGCAGAATGTTCAAAGCTGTAGACGCAATCAGAGGCATTGTTGGGACAGCAGAATGGACACTTGCCTTGGACGTCGATGCTCAAGCACATCAGCAGCCAACACCAGACGACGCACCACCCCCTGCAAACTGGCCAGAGGGTGGCAACTGGGCACTGAGACGATTTTACAAGATCAACATAGAGAAGCTGCTCAGACAACACCTTGACAATCAGCCTTACATAAGTAGGTTTGTGCTAAGCATGACAGACATCGGCTGACCTCTTCAGTGCTCAACTTCCTGACTGTTGCGCCCGCGATGCAAGGCCAGGGGGTGGGTAGTAGGCTGATGCAATGGGGTGTAGAAGAGGCCGATCGTAGAGGAGCAGCCATAGTGCTCGAGTCGACGCCTACTGGGCTGGCACTGTACAAGAGGCATGGCTTTGTGACAATAGAGGTCATCAATGCTGATATGAGAGCTTTCGGACGGACTGAGCCGTACGATGAAGCTGCTGCGATACGTGTGTTCATGATCCGATATGCTAGATAGATGAGTGGTATCGTTACTCCCTCCAGACCCGTACGCCGTGCTATAAGTGCTGTTAGTCAATCATACAACAGAGGTTCACACTCGCGGTTTGGCCCGGTCGTAGTCGAGAACGCGCCGATTACGATGCATCTGTGCCATCTTCCAGCGCACGTAGATCATCAGTGCATCCTTGAAGACGACGAACAGGCATCCTCCTATGAGACTGCGGCCCCATTTCTCATGTAAAATGCCCTTGGAGCCAGCGCGGAAGCCTGATCTGCTACTGACGGCGGCGATAGCGGCGGCTGGACTCGTCCATGCTTTCGGCAATGCCAGTCTGAGGAGCTCTCCAGATAGTTCTGCAATGGTTGGGAACACCAGAGCACCAAGCACACTCTCTGCTAGTGATGCTGGCGAGAAAGACAGTCGTCGTTCTGCCTGGACAGCTTGCCTTTGTGCTGGTTGTGCCGGTTCCACAGGTACGTCTGGCGCTGGTGCAGCGCCCTCAACTTCAGGTCCAGCTTCTTCGGCAGCCTGGCCAATTTCTGGTTGAGCATCTTCCACAGGCGCATGTTCCTCCCATTCCTCCCAGATTCCTCCGTCTACTCTTATCTCGAACACATTCGTATCATCTGCAGCATCCTCGATCGCTTGTACTGGATCGTGGGCAGGTGTATCAGTAGTCTGTGTCTGACTAGTCAACGGCAATATCTCTTTCCGCCAGCCTCGAACCCTTGCTCCCCATACACGTTCGTAGTACATGTTGTAGCCTTGGCGTACATAGGGCAAAAGGGCGAAGGCCATGCTTGCCGATGGTGGCCATTGGACGAAAGAGAACGGCTCGCCAGTGTAGGAAGGCTGCAGGGCGAAGAAGAGAGTTGGTACAACTGTAAGGAGAGCTTCGGAGAAGTGCCATGTCGTCCGTGAGAGGAGTAAGATAGGTGTGACGAGCGGCAGTCCAAGGTATAAGCGCCAATGCTGTATGTAATGCGCCACGGACATCAGTGCTCGATCTCGGATCTGAGGAAGAGGCATCTCAAAGTCGGTAGGAGGTCGCACGCGGTTCTGCAGAACAGGGAGCAGAATCCTGTCTGCGTCTGCCGTTCCGAAGATGCGATATATCGAATGTTCTCCATGAGCGAAACTGAGCTTGTAGAGCAGATCTAGGGACAACAGGACCACACCACCAGGCATAACAAGCCGTGCTGTAGATCGATCTAGAAGCCGCACGATGTCGACGATATAGTTTCGAGGTCGAGCCAGCTTGATCTCTGCCTTGCATTGCGGACACAATATCTGTGGTGTTATAAGGCCTCCTCTTGACGTGTTCTTTGGTGCTTCAGCATCTGCTATCCAGTCCAGCAAGCATTCTTCGTGTGCGACCAGAGCGCAGGGGCAAGGATCTCGCCATGGCGAAGTTTCGGGCGTGTCTTCTGTGGAATCGCTGAAGCATATCCAACACTTCTTCACTGACGGATCATCGTCGGCTGAAAGTAGACGAGGTTGTGCGGCTGGCTGCTCGTCTTGTAGCTCGGCTTGGACGGGTCCCTCCTGTGAATCATCTACTGCTTGTGTCGAACGACTCTCGGTGGTGGCTATTGGAGGCGTGGCTTCCTGTGAAGGTGTGGGCACTGGCGACGATCGTCGTTGTGATGGTCGTCTCTGCATTGAAGCCATTACGATGGTGTCAGTGGTTGATGCAGCGCATGTTGTGAGTGCTTATCCACGTGGATGCTTGTCGCTTTCGAGTGATGTCAGTTGTCGCGTTGGCGAGGCTCGGGCTGAGGTGCGGGAGGCTTAATTCCCATCCACCATTGTTCTTGGTTAACGCTGGCTTTGATTGCTCACCACAGCATCCTGGAAGCTTCAAGATGTATGAATGATGGCCCGTCTGAGAGTACCTGTCACGTTCTCTGAGATCTGTCTGCTATAAGACTCAATATGATGTCGTTTTGGTGGCGATATGGCTGCTCGAAGTTGGTGATTGTAAGAGACAATGGAGCTCAAAATTTGCGAGCCTCTCCGAAGGAGTGCCCCTTAGCACTGCTCCTGAACACCCAAGATGAGACCAAATGCTACGCGTAATTCAGAGCTGTCAAAGTGTCCGTCTAACACACAGATCGGTAGTGGACCGAGTGAGAAGCAGGCTGATGAGTGCGACTTGGTGAGGATTCAGACTAGAAAAGATGGACTGAAGCTCAAGCTTGCCGGGCTTGGTTTGGTCAAACAATTACGTGCATTGCAGCTGCAATTGCGCTGAGATCAATCATTCTTGCTCTCCGAGCTCACACTGTCCGTCAACAGGTGAAACGGAGCAAAAGGACAGCACCCGAGCATGTACTTCTCACTTCGCGCTACCACGCCGCAAAAATATGCAAAAAGTGGAGGTATGGGTGATCGAAACCCAGGCCTTCCGCATACAAGATGCAAAGCGGACGCTCTACCACTGAGCTATACCCCCATCATGATTGTTTTTCAAAGTGTGGGTATAACTCGTGCTTCTATTGGAGCTTCGAGTACATCCGAGAGCTTTCCGGGCTTGCTGAGATCATCGAGAGCTCGAGACGCGTCGTAAAGCTAAGAGCAATCTCTGTTCGACATGAGGTTGCTCGTAAATATCGTGATGACATGGATGTGCAGAGGGAGACTGCAGTGTTGACTGCTCGACGCAGATCGCAAACGTACTGTGTGTAGGAGGGTGTCCTGCGCAAGACGGCCGAGCTTTCGTAGCACCAAGGGCAGCGACTCAGACAGGTGCCAAGAGGCTTGTGCACTTGGATGCTGTGGTGTTCTAGATTCAGAAGAGTAGAGATTGATAGCAGGAGCCGTACTACTTTAAAATGCTCCTCCCTGGACAATGTCACGTTCGATGAGTCATGAGCAACGTCAGCAATAGCGGCGCGATTAGCAGTCGCTGTTATCTGGCATTCATGTGACAAGGTCAACCATGCTCTGAGGTCAGTTGTTATGAGTGGAGAGGGTCCATCACTATATGTACTCGCAACGACTACAGTCATTTCTTGATCGTGCTCAGGACTTCCACATCTCCCATTTCGCCTACGCCCCAGAGCTTCTCAGGAATCGGTGGTGGGTGCGCAGCGTGAGTCTGTACGCGCCTCGAGACTTTCACAAACTTCTTCTTCAGCTCAGACCAAGGCACTTGCTTGTCGACCAGCTCGAAGTCTCTCTTCCTCCATTCTCCATCGATCAGAACGTGCTCGATGTCGCCGACGTTTGCATGCAGCATGATAGCAGCCACGGGATCGCTCCATCCGAGCATGTTGGGCGAGTCACCGTTGAAGACTACAAGATCAGCCTTGGCACCGACCTGGAGGACGCCTACATCTCTCCGATGCATGGCCAGTCCACCTTGTCGAGTAGCGAGCAAGAAGCCTTGTTCGACCGTCATGGGTGTCTGCTTGGGTAGCTTGCCGGTTTCAAGGCATTCTTGGTACTTCATATGGCGAGCATGTTGCAGCCAGAGCCGAGCTTGTGTGAGAATGTCTCCAGAGAAGGTAAATGGAGTATCGATACCCAGAGAGGCCTTATCGAGGATCTGAGTGCCCGTGACTTGGCAATGACCGTAGTGAAACTCCGATTCGGGAGTGATAGAGACATGGACATTATGTGCTCGCATGGCACTCATGTCTTCGGTCGTCAGATACCCGGCGTGCGAGACAACGATAGGGACACCTGCGGTGTGCAGCCCATGCTTGCAGAGGCTGTTTGGCGCAGTGTGAGCATTCGGACCACCTTAGCAACGTCAGTAGAGCTTCTGCCACTCACAGGACTGATCTTACCAGGCCATACGCCTCCCAGATGATGCACTGTGATTGCAGCAAGCTTGTGCTCCCTGAATGACATCAGCAAGGTCCGACATGCGGTCAACAAACTCACTTGATCGTTGACACAGTATGGTCCAATTTATCAGGCAACCCCGACGCCAGTTGATCATAAGCTAGACCGAGCTTCACCAGGTCGTCCTTGGCAGTACGCTGCTCTGCGATCTCCTTGAGCGCTTCCCACTGTTGACTTTCCCGAATAACCTGGACTATCACGCACGTTGTAGCACCACCAGATCCTCGCTCCAGAATGTAACGCAGCTTCATAACCAGCTTGCGCTACATCACGATTCCAATTGGAATGAGCATGCTCAACAAACGATGTCACGCCACCATTTACACCTTCGTAGTAGCCTTCCAAGGAGCTGAGGTAGACGTCCTCAGCTGAGAAGGCACTCGCAACCTTTGAGGTCATGCTGAAGCAATCGAAGTAGTGCGGAAGCGTGACATTTGGCCCCATAGTCCGAAGGGCAGCCTGCCACATGTGCACATGTGTGTTGACGAAGCCTGGCGAGACAATCTTACCTTGCACATCGATCACTTCTGTCCCTTGCGGTATCCTGTCGGCGCTGAGGTCGTCCACAATCTCCTGTATGATTCCATTGGATATCAGAATCGATGCGTTGCGACGGACGTTGATGGTGAGCGTCTTGTCGTCGAAGCTTACGATCGTCCCATTGATGAGAGCCTTGGTCGCCATCCTGATTGAGTTGGTGGCCGTGAAATGAGCTCACAGCGCTCTATATCAAGCTGAACAACACCTGAGATAGGCTTGGCATCTGACCAAGCTAGTTCGGGGTTTGTATAGGCCGACAGGCCGAAGACCGAGTAACAGAGCCAGTGTCGATGATGTCTCTTCCAAGAGCAACGTCAGACGGGGCTCTGTGCTAATTAGGGCCATGGACTTGCTGTCATAGCTGGACGTTCAGGATCTGCTAAGCTCAGGCTTCTGCAGGCGGATCGAGCTGGCTGCAAGTGAGGTCTTGGCGTTGCATGTCAAAATGTGCCAGATCATCCAGGGAAAGCTCGAGAAGACTCAGCGCTGCTCGATAGCGAGAATCGTAAGCTATCAGATTCGCCTGACACCAGGCACAAGGTTACGGATATGATCATACTTTGGTAGGCACCCTGAAATCGTTGATAATGCCGATGACAGCGACCTGGGCCATGCACTGTCAGCCTGGATCTCGAGATGGAGTCAGAGCGAAGCCATCTGGAGATAGCTTCTGTCGCTCGGCCGAGAGCCAGGTTCTTGTGAGCACTAGCTCCGTTATCAGCAAATCAGTCATCCTTGTATGAGTACTTGCTGTGTTGTCTGAGCACGACCAAGCACCATAGGACAATGCCTGACTGACGTGCCTAGACCACACGAAAGTCTTGCCATGGCATCGCCGGCTCTTCATCATATGCTTGCCTGATATCGCACAACTGCTCTCCCATCATGAATGCTGGCAGGAAGCATTCGCCGATCAATTGCCAGCTCGGGCCCACTGCACGAAGCAGGTACAACGCTTGCAGTCCTAGGATAATACAAACGGCGTCTCCCGGCCGTGCACGCTTTGGCACGAAGCCAAGTTGACCTCCTGCCTCGATCACACTTACGAATGGATGTCCGTCGTATGGTTGGTCGTTCTGAACGACTCGCTCTCGCCAGAACGGCATGGCGAAGTGGAGAGAGGCACCTTCCAGCGTCTGGCTAGCTGTTTCGTCGAGAGCAACCTCATCATATTGTGCTTTGCTCCACAGCTTGAGCTCACCAATCGTATGCAGCATCTTCCCTCTCATCAGCAGTGCAAGATTGCCGTCTGGTCTTACCATCTGGCGTCGCTCAGTCGATGTATAGCCTGCTCAATAGTATCCAGGGAACGTACCAGCAAACCGCTCGGACTGTAGCGCGTATTGTTGACTCCAGTCGACACACCAGGACGGTAGTGATTCATTGTGTCCGTACTTTGTCAGGGCGAGTGCTTCTGCTGCGCCGTTACACAACAGATAGCGTGAGAGCCTGATGTAAACATCTCGTACTGAGGAAGCATAATCTGGCATGACCTCAGGCGGAATCTTATCAGATAGAAGAGGCAAGATGGCAAACAGTTTGTCCCGTAGATCAGTGCATTTGAACTCTTGTGAATCGACCAGCATTGCAAGAAATCTGAAAGCTGTTGAAGACGACCACCGCTCTTCTGAATAGTCGTGCTGCATAGCATCAGCACTACGGATGTACAGCTGAGGGTGCTTAGACTGGAGAGGTCGTAGGTAGTATTGATCTGCTTTAATGGCACTCGCTCGTGCGTGCGATCCGGGAAAATCCTGCTTCATATCAAACACACTTGCACCTGCTCCATAGCTCCTAGCGGCAATATCAACCAGGTCCATCTTATGAGATCCAGCTTGGAATGTCACGGTGGGTGAGCGTATGATTTCTTGGATAATCCATTTGCGAAAGAAGTATGGTCGCTCGTATTGCAGGTTGGTACATGATTTCTTCCAGTCGGACGGCCACGGCGAAGGATAGACTGCGATTATCGGTCTGGCAAGCTGTTGCAGTAGCAGCTGAGACACCCATCGTAGTGACACTTCGTTATCAATGTCTTGCAGGTCCCACATGGCGAGCAAAGGCTGGATCCAGAGTGCACTGCTCGAATGTCGCCAGAGGTATCTCTGGTTCAATATCTCCGTATCAGAATTTGCTGTGCCTAGGTATGCCACAGTATGCGAACTCTTTCTGTATATCAATCCCATCAAAGTGACTTGATGGTTGCGTTCTGCAATATCATCCTGATTGATACAGATCATGTCCAGCCATACCAGAGGGTGGTCATCGCAGATGTTGTCGAGAACCTCGTAGGCACTTGCTGTGATGGGCAACATCGTTCTCGTTTCGCTTGTGTAAAGCTTCTTTGTGCGTTCACTCGATCCCCATGTATAGCTGACTGTCGTGTACTTGGGTGCCGCGTCAATGTCGGTAGGGATCAGGGTGAAGAGTAGATCGTCGCCATCGCGTGTGATACGAAGCAGACGGATCTGTGTGATCTCCACTGGTTGATATCGATACGTTGTCGACATGCTGATTGGAGGTCAGACGTGCTGCTCTATCTCTAGATGAAGTAAGTATCAGCTCTATCACCTACGTAGACAGTAGTGCCAGCGTCGTGTGTTGAGCACGACGCAGCTTCGATCTGCATCGTGTGCTTGTTTTGCCGCGAAGCTGCCCGGCTTCTTGCAGGTTCAGATCACGCGACGTTTTGTTGTCGTAGCAGCTGCTCAACATACGACTGCGTACGAGACAGTGACGGTTGAAGGAAATATGCCTACCGTCTGGCATGCGATGCATAGTCGTCCAATCGTCCAGTGGTGCCCGAATTGATGGAAGATCTTTGGATCAGCATTGCTTGGCGCTGCTTGGAGGCGCGTCTCAACGGCTGGGACAACTTCTTGCTTCGCATCGTCTTCTTCTCTTCACAACTCCCACACAGACAATGCAACAGAACGGAAAGGTGTCATATTTGATGAACTGATCATCGTAGACATTGCAAAAAGGAGGTATGCATCCCATCTGACCGCCTGGACCACGTAGGTTCAGTCTATATGCTCTCGGCTCACCTCGCTGTCGATGGCT